TGGTGGCACACGCCTGTAGTCCCAGCTACTTGGAAGGCTGAGGCGGAAGGATCGCCTGAGCCCAGCAAGTCGAGGCTGCGGTGGCCCTGAGCGTGCCACTGCACTCTAGCCTGGGCGACAGAGTGAGACTCTGACTCAAAAAAAAAAAAAATGCATCATGCATCTGCCAGGCAAATAATTTCTCAAATTTTCATCCCATTCTGCCACCCAGACCCATGTGGATGATGCATAGGAATGTTAGCCTATGTCCCCCATGGCTCTGGAGAATCCTAGGCCATGGGACAGGGCAGAAAAACGTCTTTGTCATCTCCGTCCACTGCCTGCTTGTCATGTCAGTTTGCCCCCGATTTCACTTAAGAGCTTTCCCCAGAGCCTTCCTAAGGTCTCTTCTGACACATGTGGGAGTCAGAGCTCACTCAGCCTCAGCCCACTCAACCCTCGCCAGGAGCTTGACCACATGTATCTGTCTGCCCCATGAGTTGATCCTCCGGCCATTCACTGCTCTCCGCCTGCTTGAATCCCGTCTAGAAGCTCAGAGGAAGCCAGAAAGAGAAAAGCCACAAGGAGAATTGGGAGCAGCAGCCTGCGTGGCAGCTAGACTCTAAAGACATGTCAGGAGGCCGCCCAGGCCATGCTGTGGGGAGTGTTAGGGACTGCTGGCATCGCCATTCTGCAGACCATGAGGCGGTAACTGAAAATGAGGGCACTTTGGTGTATTTGTCAAACATTTGCGGCACACCAGCCAAGTCTACGTGCCAGGGCTATGGGGGAGCTCACTTGCTCCACGTGGCACCTGGTAGGCTTGAAGACCAGAAGGCAGCAGGAAAATGCTTAGAGCTTAACCTCGGGTGGAAAATGTTCACAAATGGGTATGCCTGCTGAGGCGTACAAGGTCTTCCTGAGCTGCTTCTAGAACTCAGCCATTTTAGCATTCCCCAGATGAACAACTCCAATGCAAAACCATGGAAGACTACTACCGAATTTTGCCAAAGGATTCCTGAGGTTGTAGGAACTTGTGTTTCCTGCTGCAAAGGAAGCCATCTTTGAAATCTTTTCCCCAGAGTTTCACTCCTTACACAGTGGGTTGTCTCTTCTCTCCCTCTCCTGTGTCTTACCATCAGCCTCTAACTCCTGGGGTACTCCTCATTCTCCCTTCCCAAGGGATTAGGTGCTGGAGGAGACAACTTGGATTCCAAGATAAACCATTTCAGGAGAAGCCGGGGAGGGTGGAAGTGATCTTGAACAAAAATCCGTGAATGCAACATCTACAGGGAGGCACCACAGACAGAGACGTTTTCAGAAACAGCCACCATTCCTTCCTCATGTCCAGCACTTTCCAGACATTTTCTCATTTGGTTTTCACCACAGATCTAGCAGGGAGGAAGCCTGGGTGATAGCAGACAGGGCACAGACCCACCCTGCCAGAGATGGGGTCTTTGAGTCCTTGTAAAACAAAATGCCTAGGGGTTCTGAGCACAGACTTTAAGTGACCACACATGACAAGGATTCCTGTCTTTGTAAAAACAGTTGGTAAAGACACCAGACAAGTAGCCTTCAGCAATTAAAAACAGCAAACTCTGGGGAAGAAGGAGAAACTGATTTCCAGAATTACCGTAGCATAATATTCAAATGTCTTGTTTTCAACAACAAATAAAGCCTCACACTTAATACAAAGAAATAGGAAAGGATGGTTCATTCAAAGGAAAAAAATAATTGATGGAAACTGTTACTGAGGAAGCCTAGACATTGAATTTACTAGACAAAGG